GCCGGTGGGGGCGGAGGAGCCCGCACCAGGGGCTTGGAGACCCAGCTCCCGCTCCCCTCTGCCCCGACTTCCCAGCGGGCCCTGGGGCACAGCACGTTGCTCCTTGGGCCTTGGGTTTCTAGCAGAAAAGTGATGGGGCTGGACTTGGATTGCTAGGGGTCCTGTGTTCTTCGGTTCTGGTTGAGACGAGAGAAGTGGGCGATTCCTTCCAACTGTAGCCCCCTGTCCCGCCACACTCCCCAGGCAGGCATCCTAACAGCCAGCCCTCCTCCTGCCCCGCTCACAACCATCTGTTCTCCCGTCCTTCGGCTCATTCATTCACTGATTCATCCTCCCATCCATTCATTCATCCTCCCATTGACCCTCCCATCTCTTCATCCCAACTACTTTGACCTCTATGTGGATGGTGCCATTTGGGTCAGTTCTGCTGAGACCCGGCACATCTGTCCCTGGGCCCCGCCCCCGAGAAGTGAGAGGTGAAGGGAGGGGAGGGAAGGGTTGCAGCCACCTGGTCCCTCGGAGTAAAGGAGACGGCAACAGGATGTAGTTGGAGGCAAGAGTCCTGGAAAGTGACTCTGGAGACCAAGGTTCCAGGCCCTATTCCCCACTGACCTGCTGGGTGACCCTGGGCAAGTCCCCTGGGAGTCCCAGCTGCCCTACCTGTGTGCCTCAGTGTGCTGAGGGGAGCCCTTCTGCGACTAGGACCAAAGCTGGAGAATATAAAGTGATGGAGACCAGACACCTTCTGTGCGACTGAAATAGAAGCAGCGGAGCCAGCTGTCCTCCCCCATCTATAGTAGTAGGTGACTATGCCAGGAATGTCAGTACAGATAAGGACAGAGGACTGACAGAACCTGTTGGAAATGCGATGACTGGAGAAAAAGAAAACCTTTGCTTTTGTGTTTCTTTATTCCTCAAATTCACAGCATACCTGGGGCTGCCTGTCTCGGTGTTCTCTGAGCCCAGCGTTCTCATAAAAACCAAATTATTCAACAAATACTCACCGAGTACCTACTACATGGTAGGTACTGGGAACACACAGGTAGAAAAGGGAAGCAGTTCCTATCTGCATTGGCTAACAGTCTAGAATAGCGCTGCCCAATAGAAATAGAACATGAGTCACATGTGTAACTTAAAATGTTTTAGCAGCCACATTAAAAATGTAGGAAGAAAGAGGTTGTTAATGATGTTTTAACCCAGTATAGCCCAAGTATTATTATTTTAACATGTAGTCAGTATTTTAAAATTATTAATGACACATTTTACATCTTTTTATGGTAGGAAGTCTTTAAAATTCAGCGTGTATTTTACACTTCGAGCACATCCCAATTCAAACAAGGCACATGTCAGATGCTTCACAGCCATATCTGTCTGCTAACTACAGACTGGACACCTCAGGTCTAGGAGGGTGTCCGAGCAAAATAAGCAAGGAGACAAATAAAGCTTTTACAAATGGTCACAATTTTCTATGAAGGAAACAAAAGAGAAAAAGAACCTCTCTAAACAGGTGACATTAAAGTTGAGACCTGACATAGAAGGACCCAGCTATTTAAAAATTAGAAAGAGGTGTGTGTGTGTGTGGGGGGGGGGAGAGTAGAGAGATTTCCAGCAGGAAAAAACAGCATGGGGGAGTGGGGGAAGGGACAGCCAGCATGGCTCAGTGGTTGAGCATTGACCTTTGAACCAGGAGGTCACGGTGGATTCCCAGTCAGGGCACATGCCAGGTTGTGGCCTCAATCACCAGTGGGGGAGGGAGTGCAGGATGCAGCCCATCAATTATTTTCTCTCATCATTATTGTTTCTTTCTCTCTCCCTTCCTTTCTGAAATCAATTTAAAAATGTTTTTAAAAAGAACAGCATGGGCAAAGGCTCTGAGGTGGGAAAAGGTTGGCCTTTGGAAAGAGCCGGTGGAACTGGAGGGGAGGAAGCCAGAGGGAGGTGGTGAGAATTAGGCTGAGAGGAGAGAAGGGGGGAGTGTGCAGGATCATGTGTGGCCATAATTGAGGGTTTAGGGTTTTCTTTTCGGTATGATGGAAAGCCAATGGGAAGATGTAACTGGGGAAGCCATGTCACCTAGTTTACATCTTAAGTCCATCACTTTGGCTCCTCTCTGGAGTGTGGATTAGAGAGCAAAGCAGTGAGGCCAGGCAGGAGGTTACTGTGTCCGCTCAGGCAAGAGATGATGGTTTTCCCGCCTTGAAAATCACCACCTGTGCCACAGAAGTGAAAGCAGGGTTATTCATTCATTCAACCAGTACTTACCGGATGCCGGATTATAGGTGAAAAATTGCACCTAAGATGTGCTGATATCTGACTTGAGTTCCCAGAATGCCCTACCCATGGATGATATAAAGAACTGCTGCTAAATGGGCCTGAAGACTAGTCCCTCACCATGGCCCTGGCCTTAGCAGCTCCGTGAACCTGGGCAGGCAACCCAATCCCCCCGGGTCTGTTTCCTCATCCATAAAGGCGAAATTATAACAGTCTTTTGAACTCCTACTTGGTTGTTGGGAAAATAATCAAGTCACCTGTACAAAAGAACTCTCTGTTGGGTTAAAGGATCTGGAAAAACAAACAAACACCCAGGTATACTTATTAGATTGAACACATTTAATAACTATTAACTGTTTATCTGTTGAAAGTGTTAAGTTGTTGCAAAGCCCAATTTGCTGTCAATAAGTCATGAAGTGACTGTTTTATAAAGCCAGTAACAAAAAGATACTGAAATGCAGGCCTCATCTTATCATTTTCTTACTAAGAACCCTTCAGTGGCACATGATGGTAGGAAAAATAATGGATCCCCAAAGATGTCCATGTTCTAATTCCTAGAAACTATGACTGTGTTATGTTACATGGGAAGGGAGAATTAAGGCTGCAGACGGAATTGAGGTTGCTAATCAGCCGACCATGGGATGGAAAGATTACCCCGGACTATGTGGGTGGGCCCAATGTAGTTGCAAGGGCCCTTTAACTGAAAGGGGGAGGCAGGGGAATAAGAGTCAGAGGGTATGTGATGACAGGAGCAGACGAATGGTATGATTGCTGGCTTTGAAGATGGAAGGGGGCCATGAGCCAAGAAATGCAGGTGGAAAAGCAAGGAAACCGATTCTCTCCAAAGCCTTCAGAAGGAACGCAGCCCTGCCGCCACATTAATTTTAGTTTAGAGAGGCGCATTTCAGACTTCTGACCTCAACACTGTAAACTAATACATTTATATTGTTTTAAGTCACGTTGTCTGTGGTAATTACAGCAGCAGTAGGAACCTAATACACTCACTAATACCCCTAGGAAAAAGTCCAACCTGCTTAGCATAGCACACAAGGCCTTTCGGAATCTGGCTTATGTCACTGTGAGCTTGAGCAAAGTTCTTAATTTCTATGGGCCTGTTTCCTCACCTGTAAAATGGGAAGGGAAAAATCCCTCTAGGTCTGTAATGAGATGAAATGAGAGGACACATTTAAAGCGCCTGCTGGAGACACTGGCACAGCAGTATAATTATCATGGAGCAACTGACAGGGAGTTGGGAGGCCTGGGATCTATGCCGCTTGTTACGGCTCTGTTTCCACATCTGTAGAAAAGGAGACGAACACACACAGGTTTAGCATCTTCATCTCCCCCCTCTTCTCCACTCTTTCCTGGCCATTGATCTGCTTTTCCTTCCTCAAACAGGCTTCACTCCTGTGACTTCTGATTTTGCACAGGCTAGTCCCTCTGCCTGGAATGCTCTTCCACCCCCTTCACCAGACTAACTCCCATTTCCCCCAGCAGGCCTTGCTGACCCCAGTTAGAGTCAGTTAGACCCCACTGTTATGTGTAACCAAAGCATCCTGAACTTCCTCTATGGTAGTACTGATTTTCTGTCATTACTATGGCTTGTGTGTTTTTCGTTTGGAAAAAACAAAAACAAATCCAGATAAGAATAATTTGACCTATTTTCTTCAAGTGTGTTGTTTCAATAAAACAAAACATTGCAAGTAAACTTGAAGTAGTTGACGTTCCCTTTCCTCTCTCCTCTTTCCCAGAGGCAGCCACTATTGTGAATTTGGTGCGTAGTTTATCAGTCCACGTTTTAATTTTTTTAATACCTATATACCCATAAATATATAGAATATGCTTTTATATGTGTTTATAATGAATACAAGTTGCAACCTTTAAAATATTTATCATTCTACAACCTTCTCTTATTCACTCAAAAATAGGTCTGGAGGATATTTTCTTATTGATATAACCCGAATCTTTCACTTTTATCACTATGTAATATTTTGTTATTAGAACAAAATCAATAAAATATATTTTAAAAAATAGGTCTAGAGGGTATTTTTTTATTGATATAACCTGAATCTTTCGTTTTTATCACTATGTAA